TGAACTCCCAGTGATCACAAAAAACACTTAAAATCGCTCTATCTCTTCTAATTTAGCCAGAAAACGCGTTTAAAATTTTGCAAAAGATTTTTTTTAATATCTCCATAAATATTTTTGCTACAGCCTATTATCATATATTGGCGGAATCTGTGGACTACCAGTGATCACAAAAAACACTTAAAATCGCTCTATCTCTTCTAGTTTAGCCAGAAAACGCGTTTAAAGTTTTGCAAAAGATTTTTTTAAATATCTCCAAAAATATTTTTGCTACAGCCTATTATCATATATTGGCGGAATCTGTGGACTCCCAGTGATCACAAAAAACACTTAAAATCGCTCTATCTCTTCTAGTTTAGCCAGAAAACGCGTTTAAAGTTTTGCAAAAGATTTTTTTAAATATCTCCATAAATATTTTTGCTACAGCCTATTATCATATATTGGCGGAATCTGTGGACTACCAGTGATCACAAAAAACACTTAAAATCGCTCTATCTCTTCTAGTTAAGCCAGAAAACGCGTTTAAAGTTTTGCAAAAGATTTTTTTAAATATCTCCAAAAATATTTTTGCTACAGCCTATTATCATATATTGGCGGAATCTGTGGACTCCCAGTGATCACAAAAAACACTTAAAATCGCTCTATCTCTTCTAGTTTAGCCAGAAAACGCGTGTAAAGTTTTGCAAAAGATTTTTTTAAATATCTCCAAAAATATTTTTGCTACAGCCTATTATTATATATTGGCGGAATCTGTGAACTCCCAGTGATCACAAAAAACACTTAAAATCGCTCTATCTCTTCTAGTTTAGCCAGAAAACGCGTTTAAAATTTTGCAAAAGATTTTTTTTAATATCTCCATAAATATTTTTGCTACAGCCTATTATCATATATTGGCGGAATCTGTGGACTCCCAGTGATCACAAAAAACACTTAAAATCGCTCTATCTCTTCTAGTTTAGCCAGAAAACGCGTTTAAAGTTTTGCAAAAGATTTTTTTAAATATCTCCCAAAATATTTTTGCTACAGCCTATTATCATATATTGGCGGAATCTGTGAACTACCAGTGATCACAAAAAACACTTAAAATCGCTCTATCTCTTCTAGTTTAGCCAGAAAACGAGTTTAAAATTTTGCAAAAGATTTTTTTAAATATCTCCATAAATATTTTTGCTACAGCCTATTATCATATATTGGCGGAATCTGTGAACTCCCAGTGATCTCAAAAAACACTTTAAATCGCTCTATCTCTTCTAGTTTAGCCAGAAAACGCGTTTAAAGTTTTGCAAAAGATTTTTTTAAATATCTCCAAAAATATTTTTGCTACAGCCTATTATCATATATTGGCGGAATCTGTGGACTCCCAGTGATCAAAAAAAACACTTAAAATCGCTCTATCTCTTCTAGTTTAGCCAGAAAACGCGTTTAAAGTTTTGCAAAAGATTTTTTTAAATATCTCCAAAAATATTTTTGCTACAGCCTATTATCATATATTGGCGGAATCTGTGAACTACCAGTGATCACAAAAAACACTTAAAATCGCTCTATCTCTTCTAGTTTAGCCAGAAAACGCGTTTAAAGTTTTGCAAAAGATTTTTTTTAAATATCTCCAAAAATATTTTTGCTACAGCCTATTATCATATATTGGCGGAATCTGTGGACTCCCAGTGATCACAAAAAACACTTAAAATCGCTCTATCTCTTCTAGTTTAGCCAGAAAACGCGTTTAAAGTTTTGCAAAAGATTTTTTTAAATATCTCCAAAAATATTTTTGCTACAGCCTATTATCATATATTGGCGGAATCTGTGGACTCCCAGTGATCACAAAAAACACTTAAAATCGCTCTATCTCTTCTAGTTTAGCCAGAAAACGCTTGTAAAGTTTTGCAAAAGATTTTTTAAATATCTCCAAAAATATTTTTGCTACAGCCTATTATCATATATTGGCGGAATCTGTGGACTCCCAGTGATCACAAAAAACACTTAAAATCGCTCTATCTCTTCTAGTTTAGCCAGAAAACGCGTTTAAAATTTTGCAAAAGATTTTTTTTAATATCTCCATAAATATTTTTGCTACAGCCTATTATCATATATTGGCGGAATCTGTGAACTACCAGTGATCACAAAAAACACTTAAAATCGCTCTATCTCTTCTAGTTTAGCCAGAAAACGCGTTTAAAATTTTGCAAAAGATTTTTTTAAATATCTCCAAAAATATTTTTGCTACAGCCTATTATCATATATTGGCGGAATCTGTGGACTCCCAGTGATCACAAAAAACACTTAAAATCGCTCTATCTCTTCTAGTTTAGCCAGAAAACGCGTTTAAAGTTTTGCAAAAGATTTTTTTAAATATCTCCAAAAATATTTTTGCTACAGCCTATTATCATATATTGGCGGAATCTGTGGACTCCCAGTGATCACAAAAAAAAACTTAAAATCGCTCTATCTCTTCTAGTTTAGCCAGAAAACGCTTGTAAAGTTTTGCAAAAGATTTTTTAAATATCTCCAAAAATATTTTTGCTACAGCCTATTATCATATATTGGCGGAATCTGTGGACTCCCAGTGATCACAAAAAACACTTAAAATCGCTCTATCTCTTCTAGTTTAGCCAGAAAACGCGTTTAAAGTTTTGCAAAAGATTTTTTTAAATATCTCCCAAAATATTTTTGCTACAGCCTATTATCATATATTGGCGGAATCTGTGAACTACCAGTGATCACAAAAAACACTTAAAATCGCTCTATCTCTTCTAGTTTAGCCAGAAAACGCGTTTAAGGTTTTGCAAAAGATTTTTTTAAATATCTCCATAAATATTTTTGCTACAGCCTATTATCATATATTGGCGGAATCTTTGAACTACCAGTGATCTCAAAAAACACTTAAAATCGCTCTATCTCTTCTAGTTTAGCCAGGAAACGCGTTTAAAGCTTTGCAAAAGGTTTTTTTGAATATCTCCAAAAATATTTTTGCTACAGCCTATTATCATATATTGGCGGAATCTGTGAACTCCCAGTGATCACAAAAAACACTTAAAATCGCTCTATCTCTTCTAGTTTAGCCAGAAAACGCGTTTAAAGTTTTGCAAAAGATTTTTTTAAATATCTCCATAAATATTTTTGCTACAGCCTATTATCATATATTGGCGGAATCTGTGAACTCCCAGTGATCTCAAAAAACACTTAAAATCGCTCTATCTCTTCTAGTTTAGCCAGAAAACGCGTTTAAAGTTTTGCAAAAGATTTTTTTAAATATCTCCAAAAATATTTTTGCTACAGCCTATTATCATATATTGGCGGAATCTGTGGACTCCCAGTGATCACAAAAAACACTTAAAATCGCTCTATCTCTTCTAGTTTAGCCAGAAAACGCGTTTAAAGTTTTGCAAAAGATTTTTTTAAATATCTCCAAAAATATTTTTGCTACAGCCTATTATCATATATTGGCGGAATCTGTGAACTACCAGTGATCACAAAAAAACACTTAAAATCGCTCTATCTCTTCTAGTTTAGCCAGAAAACGCGTTTAAAGTTTTGCAAAAGATTTTTTTAAATATCTCCAAAAATATTTTTGCTACAGCCTATTATCATATATTGGCGGAATCTGTGGACTCCCAGTGATCACAAAAAACACTTAAAATCGCTCTATCTCTTCTAGTTTAGCCAGAAAACGCGTTTAAAGTTTTGCAAAAGATTTTTTTAAATATCTCCAAAAATATTTTTGCTACAGCCTATTATCATATATTGGCGGAATCTGTGGACTCCCAGTGATCACAAAAAACACTTAAAATCGCTCTATCTCTTCTAGTTTAGCCAGAAAAACGGGTGTAAAGTTTTGCAAAAGATTTTTTTAAATATCTCCAAAAATATTTTTGCTACAGCCTATTATTATATATTGGCGGAATCTGTGAACTCCCAGTGATCACAAAAAACACTTAAAATCGCTCTATCTCTTCTAGTTTAGCCAGAAAACGCGTTTAAAGTTTTGCAAAAGATTTTTTTAAATATCTCCAAAAATATTTTTGCTACAGCCTATTATCATATATTGGCGGAATCTGTGGACTCCCAGTGATCACAAAAAACACTTAAAATCGCTCTATCTCATCTAGTTTAGCCAGAAAACGCGTTTAAAGTTTTGCAAAAGATTTTTTTAAATATCTCCAAAAATATTTTTGCTACAGCCTATTATCATATATTGGCGGAATCTGTGGACTCCCAGTGATCACAAAAAAAACTTAAAATCGCTCTATCTCTTCTAGTTTAGCCAGAAAACGCGTGTAAAGTTTTGCAAAAGATTTTTTAAATATCTCCAAAAATATTTTTGCTACAGCCTATTATCATATATTGGCGGAATCTGTGGACTCCCAGTGATCACAAAAAACACTTAAAATCGCTCTATCTCTTCTAGTTTAGCCAGAAAACGCGTTTAAAGTTTTGCAAAAGATTTTTTTAAATATCTCCCAAAATATTTTTGCTACAGCCTATTATCATATATTGGCGGAATCTGTGAACTACCAGTGATCACAAAAAACACTTAAAATCGCTCTATCTCTTCTAGTTTAGCCAGAAAACACGTTTAAAGTTTTGCAAAAGATTTTTTTAACCCTCCTTTGTACCTTGTGTAGAAACCTACACAAAAAGTTTTTTATTTATAAATTTTGCGGCAACTATTGTCACCAAAATCAAGAAACTTCATGACTTTGTTAGTTTCTCTATTAAATACCAGAAACACATAATTTTAAAGACTTTAAGGTAGATGTCACTGCTTAATTTAAAAATATCTCTTTTTGTCCCATGTGTGTAGATTTCTACACATATGAGATTTTTGGTTATTTGATGTCATATTGTTTGTATTTATAAACATAACGGGATTCAATGTCATTTTCTAAACCTATAGAAGCTCACTCAATAACATTATTTCAGTATATTATTATTTCAATAATAGTTTTTGTGAATTTTTCATTCTTTTCAATAAAATCTAAGTTTTGTAACTTATTTTCCAAAAAATGTCGAGTTTGAGGTTTCTTTGTGACGAAGAAATAGAAGATGTTTTTGGAGAGAGCAGCGGTGATAACGATAGCAATTTTGGTTATGATAATACTGAATTAGTTTTAAATGAAGACGAAGATTTAGACTACTTATTATCAGATGATACTGATAGATCTGATAGCGATGAAAACCAAAGTCAGAATGAAGAATATGAAGAAAATAATAACGAAATCGCTGATCCATTATTCATTTCAAAAGATGGTCGAATATGGAATTCTGAACCTACTTCAAATCAGTCTGGGCGAATAAGATCTGAAAATATTATTACTCTTCCACCAGGTGTTACCAGATATGCTAAATCTCGAATAGATACGCCAAAAGATGCGTTTCTGCTTTACTTTCCTAAACAAATTGAAAAAATTATAATTGAAAATTCAAATGCATTTGGTCAAGCAAAATATGGACTTCAACATATAGAAATTGATTCAAATTTGCTTTACGCATATATTGGAGTTTTAATTTTAGCTGGCGTATATCGATCAAATAATGAAACAACCGATGAATTATTTGATGAAGATAATGGTCGACCAATATTCAGGGCTATAATGCCACAAAAAACATTTCGTTATTTGAATAGCATCATTCGTTTTGACAACACAATGAGTAGAAGACAACAAAGTTCATCTGATAAGTTTGAACCAATTCGAGATTTGTTTGAAAAATGGAACAACTTGTTGCCAAATTTTTACAATCCATATGAGTCTGTTACTGTAGATGAACAATTATTAGGATTTAGAGGAAAATGTCCATTCCGTCAATATATGCCATCTAAACCAGCAAAATATGGTCTAAAATTTTGGATGTTAGTGTGCTCTAAAACGTACTACGTATGGAGAATTCAACCTTACCTTGGAAAACCGATTGGTGCTCTTACATCTGAGCGAAATCAAGGGCAGCGTGTAGTGTTAGATTTAGTTGATGGCTTGAAAGGACATAACGTTACAATCGATAATTTTTTTTCGTCACATGAACTTGGCCAAATACTTTTTGCGAAAGGGCTAACAATGGTTGGCACAATGAGAAAAAATAAAAGAAGTATCCCTCCAAAACTTTTGGAGTGTCGAAAACTACCGTTATATACATCAACATTTGCATTCACAGAAAATACGGTTTTGGTTTCCTACGTGGGAAGAAAAAATAAATGTACAATTTTACAAAGTACCTTCCATGACTCTAATGATGTTGGATGTGGACCTAAAAAATTGCCTGCTATTATTGATTATTTATAACAAAACCAAGGGAGGTGTAGATATAGTAGACAAAATGGTTTCATGTTACAGTTGTAAACGTCAAACAAGAAGATGGCCTATGGTAGTTTTTTCAAATATAATAGACATATCAGCACTAAATTCATATATAGTTTACAACGAAATTAATCCAAATTGGCAACAAGCACAAAAAAACACAAAAAGAAGAAATTTCCTTCGTGAGTTGGGGATTTCACTTGCAAAACCATATATGTTAAATAGAACTGGAAACCCTAAATCGCAATCGTCATTATCACTGCTTCAAAATATAACAGAACAGGATTCTGATTTTGAAAACGAAGCCCCAGCTTCAAAACGCCTAAAAACCATTCCAGAACAGCTCAAAGGAAGAGGTAGATGCCACATTTGCTACGAAGAAGATTCAAAGAAAAAAAATTACGTACATGAGACAATCTGCTGTTGTTGCAAAAAACCATGTTGTAAAGCGGAGCACAATAGATATGTTTGCACAAAATGTTTTTCAAATAAATTAATTTAATATATTTTCACCTTTTTCTACATTTTGATTTGAATAAAGTATAAAAAAAATAATAGATATTTCATATGTGTAGAAATCTACACATGAAGTATAAAAACGTAGTTTTTTTTTAAGAACAAAGGAGGGTTAAATATCTCCATAAATATTTTTGCTACAGCCTATTATCATATATTGGCGGAATCTGTGGACTCCCAGTGATCACAAAAAACACTTAAAATCGCTCTATCTCTTCTAGTTTAGCCAGAAAACGCGTTTAAAGTTTTGCAAAAGATTTTTTTAAATATCTCCCAAAATATTTTTGCTACAGCCTATTATCATATATTGGCGGAATCTTTGAACTACCAGTGATCACAAAAAACACTTAAAATCGCTCTATCTCTTCTAGTTTAGCCAGGAAACGCGTTTAAAGTTTTGCAAAAGATTTTTTTTAAATATCTCCCAAAATATTTTTGCTACAGCCTATTATCATATATTGGCGGAATCTGTGAACTACCAGTGATCACAAAAAACACTTAAAATCGCTCTATCTCTTCTAGTTTAGCCAGAAAACGCGTGTAAAGTTTTTGCAAAAGATTTTTTTAAATATCTCCAAAAATATTTTTGCTACAGCCTATTATCATGTATAGGCGGAATCTGTGGACTCCCAGTGATCACAAAAAACACTTAAAATCGCTCTATCTCTTCTAGTTTAGCCAGAAAACGCGTTTAAAGTTTTGCAAAAGATTTTTTTAAATATCTCCACAAATATTTTTGCTACAGCCTATTATCATATATTGGCGGAATCTGTGGACTCCCAGTGATCACAAAAAACACTTAAAATCGCTCTATCTCTTCTAGTTTAGCCAGAAAACGCGTGTAAAGTTTTGCAAAAGATTTTTTTAAATATCTCCAAAAATATTTTTGCTACAGCCTATTATCATATATTGGCGGAATCTGTGAACTCCCAGTGATCACAAAAAACACTTAAAATCGCTCTATCTCTTCTAGTTTAGCCAGAAAACGCGTGTAAAGTTTTGCAAAAGATTTTTTTAAATATCTCCAAAAATATTTTTGCTACAGCCTATTATTATATATTGGCGGAATCTGTGAACTCCCAGTGATCACAAAAAACACTTAAAATCGCTCTATCTCTTCTAGTTTAGCCAGAAAACGCGTTTAAAATTTTGCAAAAGATTTTTTTTAATATCTCCATAAATATTTTTGCTACAGCCTATTATCATATATTGGCGGAATCTGTGGGACTCCCAGTGATCACAAAAAACACTTAAAATCGCTCTATCTCTTCTAGTTTAGCCAGAAAACGCGTTTTAAAGTTTTGCAAAAGATTTTTTTAAATATCTCCCAAAATATTTTTGCTACAGCCTATTATCATATATTGGCGGAATCTGTGAACTACCAGTGATCACAAAAAACACTTAAAATCGCTCTATCTCTTCTAGTTTAGCCAGAAAACGAGTTTAAAGTTTTGCAAAAGATTTTTTTAAATATCTCCATAAATATTTTTGCTACAGCCTATTATCATATATTGGCGGAATCTGTGGACTCCCAGTGATCACAAAAAACACTTAAAATCGCTCTATCTCTTCTAGTTTAGCCAGAAAACGCGTTTAAAGTTTTGCAAAAGATTTTTTTAAATATCTCCAAAAATATTTTTGCTACAGCCTATTATCATATATTGGCGGAATCTGTGGACTCCCAGTGATCACAAAAAAACACTTAAAATCGCTCTATCTCTTCTAGTTTAGCCAGAAAACGCGTTTAAAGTTTTGCAAAAGATTTTTTTAAATATCTCCAAAAATATTTTTGCTACAGCCTATTATCATATATTGGCGGAATCTGTGAACTACCAGTGATCACAAAAAACACTTAAAATCGCTCTATCTCTTCTAGTTTAGCCAGAAAACGCGTTTAAAGTTTTGCAAAAGATTTTTTTAAATATCTCCAAAAATATTTTTGCTACAGCCTATTATCATATATTGGCGGAATCTGTGGACTCCCAGTGATCACAAAAAACACTTAAAATCGCTCTATCTCTTCTAGTTTAGCCAGAAAACGCGTTTAAAGTTTTGCAAAAGATTTTTTTAAATATCTCCAAAAATATTTTTGCTACAGCCTATTATCATATATTGGCGGAATCTGTGGACTCCCAGTGATCACAAAAAAAAACTTAAAATCGCTCTATCTCTTCTAGTTTAGCCAGAAAACGCTTGTAAAGTTTTGCAAAAGATTTTTTAAATATCTCCAAAAATATTTTTGCTACAGCCTATTATCATATATTGGCCGAATCTGTGGACTCCCAGTGATCACAAAAAACACTTAAAATAGCTCTATCTCTTCTAGTTTAGCCAGAAAAACGCGTTTAAAGTTTTGCAAAAGATTTTTTTTAAATATCTCCATAAATATTTTTGCTACAGCCTATTATCATATATTGGCGGAATCTTTGAACTACCAGTGATCACAAAAAACACTTAAAATCGCTCTATCTCTTCTAGTTTAGCCAGGAAACGCGTTTAAAGCTTTGCAAAAGGTTTTTTTGAATATCTCCAAAAATATTTTTGCTACAGCCTATTATCATATATTGGCGGAATCTGTGAACTCCCAGTGATCACAAAAAACACTTAAAATCGCTCTATCTCTTCTAGTTTAGCCAGAAAACGCGTTTAAAGTTTTGCAAAAGATTTTTTTTAAATATCTCCATAAATATTTTTGCTACAGCCTATTATCATATATTGGCGGAATCTGTGAACTCCCAGTGATCTCAAAAAACACATAAAATCGCTCTATCTCTTCTAGTTTAGCCAGAAAACGCGTTTAAAGTTTTGCAAAAGATTTTTTTTAAATATCTCCAAAAATATTTTTGCTACAGCCTATTATCATATATTGGCGGAATCTGTGGACTCCCAGTGATTACAAAAAACACTTAAAATCGCTCTATCTCTTCTAGTTTAGCCAGAAAACGCGTTTAAAGTTTTGCAAAAGATTTTTTTAAATATCTCCAAAAATATTTTTGCTACAGCCTATTATCATATATTGGCGGAATCTGTGAACTACCAGTGATCACAAAAAACACTTAAAATCGCTCTATCTCTTCTAGTTTAGCCAGAAAACGCGTTTAAAGTTTTGCAAAAGATTTTTTTAAATATCTCCAAAAATATTTTTGCTACAGCCTATTATCATATATTGGCGGAATCTGTGGACTCCCAGTGATCACAAAAAACACTTAAAATCGCTCTATCTCTTCTAGTTTAGCCAGAAAACGCGTTTAAAGTTTTGCAAAAGATTTTTTTAAATATCTCCAAAAATATTTTTGCTACAGCCTATTATCATATATTGGCGGAATCTGTGGACTCCCAGTGATCACAAAAAACACTTAAAATCGCTCTATCTCTTCTAATTTAGCCAGAAAACGGGTGTAAAGTTTTGCAAAAGATTTTTTTAAATATCTCCAAAAATATTTTTGCTACAGCCTATTATTATATATTGGCGGAATCTGTGAACTCCCAGTGATCACAAAAAACACTTAAAATCGCTCTATCTCTTCTAGTTTAGCCAGAAAACGCGTTTAAAATTTTGCAAAAGATTTTTTTTAATATCTCCATAAATATTTTTGCTACAGCCTATTATCATATATTGGCGGAATCTGTGGACTCCCAGTGATCACAAAAAACACTTAAAATCGCTCTATCTCTTCTAGTTTAGCCAGAAAACGCGTTTAAAGTTTTGCAAAAGATTTTTTTTAAATATCTCCAAAAATATTTTTGCTACAGCCTATTATCATATATTGGCGGAATCTGTGGACTCCCAGTGATCACAAAAAAAACTTAAAATCGCTCTATCTCTTCTAGTTTAGCCAGAAAACGCGTGTAAAGTTTTGCAAAAGATTTTTTAAATATCTCCAAAAATATTTTTGCTACAGCCTATTATCATATATTGGCGGAATCTGTGGACTCCCAGTGATCACAAAAAACACTTAAAATCGCTCTATCTCTTCTAGTTTAGCCAGAAAACGCATTTAAAGTTTTGCAAAAGATTTTTTTAAATATCTCCCAAAATATTTTTGCTACAGCCTATTATCATATATTGGCGGAATCTGTGAACTACCAGTGATCACAAAAAACACTTAAAATCGCTCTATCTCTTCTAGTTTAGCCAGAAAACGCGTTTAAAGTTTTGCAAAAGATTTTTTTAAATATCTCCATAAATATTTTTGCTACAGCCTATTATCATATATTGGCGGAATCTGTGGACTCCCAGTGATCACAAAAAACACTTAAAATCGCTCTATCTCTTCTAGTTTAGCCAGAAAACGCGTTTAAAGTTTTGCAAAAGATTTTTTTAAATATCTCCCAAAATATTTTTGCTACAGCCTATTATCATATATTGGCGGAATCTTTGAACTACCAGTGATCACAAAAAACACTTAAAATCGCTCTATCTCTTCTAGTTTAGCCAGGAAACGCGTTTAAAGTTTTGCAAAAGATTT